AAACATCAAGTCATTACTTTTTTTCTTTTTTTTAAAATGCTCTATTTCTGTATATGTTGTTTTTAGTGTTAAAGATATATTTTTTATTATGTAATATATTTAAAACATAGTTTTAAATTGAATGATTATTTTTAGATCATGAGTTATGTGATAATTTTGAATTTGCCACGACTAGTGATACTCAGATAGAACTATTTTAAAAGATTTAAACTTAAGTTAAAAATTTATTCAAGTATTTCTAGTTTTATTTTCATATTATTTATTATAGGAACCACTACCATTCTTATGTAAGAGAAAACATAATCCAACCAAAAATAACCAGAATAGTAAGCAAGTACCTACTTTTATGCATACTCCGCATACTGTAGCTCAAGGTATTGATTGTCTGTCTGCAAGTTGTTTTAGGAAGAAAAGATTTGAATGTTTTTTTCAATGCTTTAGTAGTTTACATATTCTATTTGTTGTTAAAGGGACTAGCAATGAGACATGTTGTGTTCATTTTAAAGAGAATGTTAAAAAAAAACGTCTGAGTAAATTTTTTTTGATTAAAACTAATTAATAAATGTATATCAAGAAAAACAAATCTTGTTGTTTTAGTCAACGCTCGTCTTCTCTATTTTCTGCGGTATTTGGAGTCTGTAAAATAAACGCGATTTTCTAGGCGTATTATACAGACTTGATAACTTATTCAAGTGATAGAAGTTTTAGTACATGACGTCATTGGAAACATTCTAGAAATTCTTTAAAAATTTTACGAATAAATTTTACTAAAATTTTATTTTCTAAAATCTTCACATTGAAAAAAACATTATGTTTTTTTGTAGCTATCAGAGCCGTGGCTACATGGGCCACGGCGATGGTGGACCTAGGGACCCCTATGGCGCCAAATCGATTTATATAATATCTCCGATGATTCATGAGTGTGTTCTTTACATTTTGATGCAAGTTGTTTCGACAAATCTTACGAACAATTAATAAAACCAAGCACTAGGAAAAGATATAAAAAATAAGAATATACTAATAAAATATATAATTTGTAATTAACTTTCAAAATTTTGACAATTTAAAAAATGTATATTATAAAACATTTATTTTTGTAAACAAATGATAATAGTTTAAAAAATTTACGGTTTTACAGATGTGGCTCCAAGAATGAGCCATAATATTAAAGTAATAGTTCACTTGATAATATATTCTTAAAAAAATTTATGCTAGATATTTCAAAACGCAACAAATCGTAAATAATACAATTCCCAAAACATTTCAACAGAATACTCTAGAGCTTTATTTCGCTTAATCAGCGTATTTTTTGAACCAATAGAATTAGTTTTGGCGGGTTTTTAGTGTTCGCGAATATTCTTTTTATTCTTCCGCAAGATGTTTTAAGAACATAGAAATTACTAATTCAATAAATTATAAATAAGCAAGTAAAACAAAATGCTATAATATAAATTTATAAGAGCTCAGATTCTTGCTTCTAGAGCATCCATCTTAAAATTAACACCGATTTCAAAATCGTTTTTTTTAGTCCAGGGTGTTCTTGAGTCTCTTAAACATAGGATAGTTGAGCGAAGTATCTCAAAAGATAACTTTGTTCTTAACCATGTCATAACAACTGAGTATTTTTTATTTTGTTTTTCCGCTAGTTTCTCCGCTAGCCTTCCAACAAACCGATGACATTCTTTTAAGAATATTCAAGTTAATTATGTTTCCATGTATGTAAAGTAAAAATTGTATGTATGTCTGTAAAGTAAAAATTAATATATATTAGTTTTTTCATTTTTTAATCCCCGCCATAATATATATAGGATGTTATAATAATGGAAATATAAATAATGAAAAAAGATCACCTCAATACCAAAAAATACATTTTTAAAAATCAGAGAAAAAATGCGTTAATATATATTTTTTTAACATTTACAAAGCAAATTAATAAAAGTGCATTATTATTTAGGTTAAAAATTATTTTATCTAATATTTTGAAAGAAAAACTTATAACAAAAGAAATCAAAACACATGTGGTCTAGACGATTATTTAAAAAAATTGGCGCAAATAAAACACTATTTTGCTTTTAATTTTTTTACAAACACATTTTAGAACTTTAAAATATAATAAAAATGAATATGATTTGGAAATTGCATGTAAGAAATAATAATCGGTGTTTTAAACATAGAAACAAAAAAAATCTATGACGTCATAACGTACTTAAATAAATTATCAAGTCTGTATAATGCGCCTGGAAACTCGCGTTTATTTTACAGACTCCAAATACCGCAGAAAATGGAGAAGACGAGTTTCGACTAAAACAACAAGATTTGTTTTTCTTGATATACATTTATTAATTAGTTTTAATCAAAAAAAAATTTGCTCAGATGTTTTAAACCTACTTCCTACTTCTACTTACTACAAACCTACTACTACTTACTACAAACCTACTTCCAACGCAGTCACTGCGTTGGAAGTAGGTTTTATTTTATCATATTGTTTTTAATTAATTGTTTAGATTAATAGATTTTAATCAATTTTGAAAAAATATATATTTAGTGAGAAAAAAATAAGAGTATTTATGTTTGGTGATTAGAAATTTTTATGTTCAGCATATAGAATTACTGGTGTAAATGGTATAAATTCAAACAATAAAATTGTGCAACAAACAATACCACATTTTAAAATTGTTGAAGTTGATGTTTATACTATTGAGTGATACTTTATGGTTTTTTTAACCATATATTTAAAATGATATTATCATATTAGGTTGAAATGCTCGCTTGTTTTGTCATATAACTCGTGCAGAGATGAAAAAGCCAGATGCTCAACAAAAACACAATTGTTCCAGTCGCTCGCTGGAAACGCTTGATGCAGATTTTTAAAAATCCATTCAAAAAGATTAAATATCAAAGTTAGCAAAGTATTGTAACAATGTCATTGATTTGCCACTTTTCAATATTCCTTTAACACAAGTATTACATTTTTCTAATATATTACATTTTTACTTATTTATATCATTTTAAATATTTGTTTATTAATTTTATGAATCTAGGTTGGTATTCCATCGTTGCATATCTCATTGGGAATTTATCTAAAAAATTTTAATGTGCTGGAAGATAGCTGTCATATTATAGATATAAAAATTGCAGCTAAAATGTGTTTAAAAAATCAAACTGTAAGCGACAAAAGTTTTGATGAATATCTTGCACTGCAGTTAAAAATATATGAACAAGAAAAAGTAATTTCTGAATATTGTGAAAAAATAACACTAATTCATGATGTAATGACAATGCAAGTTCTACGTTCTCCTGAAAATGGAGAATATCTCTATGAAGTTTTTCAGCCCAGAATAGTTTATTTTAAGGAGAAGAAAAATGCTAAGGTATACTAAGTTAATATTTGAAATAATGAAATAAAATATTCTATAGTTCTATGTGAATGAAACAATCAATTTAATAGAAAATGCTTCTGTGTGTGTTCATCTAAAGTTGTTTTTCATATAGCTTATTGAATTAAAGAGTTAAAAAGTAAAACATTTGAAAAATCACATGTACCACTTGTGAAAAAAACTTGATGAAGTTCTATGTGGTCTTAATGTTCAAAGACAAGCTTATCACGCAAAATGTTTTATTAGGAATCATGTTCCTAAAATGTTAAAGGTATTTCCATACATATTTTGGTATACTTGTAAATATGAATTGTATAAATATTTTCTCAATCGCATAAGTTCTTAATGCATAGAGGTGTTAATTTTGTAAACTATAAATTTATTCTTGATCTATTAGTTAAACAGTGTCCTAGATCTTTGCAATTCGATACCTAAAATTGTAAGCAGTCCATAACGAGACAAAGGTCTTGAGTGAGAAATTTGTTCATTTGTTCTCCAAATACGCGACATGTTACACTTTTATGAATTCAAGTGAAATTATTAATATTAGTCCATTATCAGAGTTAGGTAAAAATATATTTTTATAAACTGTTTTGTATTATGTTACTTGTTTCATAATTCCACTTGCTTGCATAATTATTCCTTTTTTTTTTTACTACCTTTTTTATTTTTTTTATTTTTTTGAATCAGAAGGAGCCATTGGAAAATTAATGAGTTACTTTTGAGAAACATGGCCCAATGAGTCTATTACACCAAAATACATTTATTAGAAAGTCATTGTGTTGATTTCATTAGAAATTGGGGTTTCGGTCTCGATATTTATGGAGAGCAAGTTTTAGAAAGTATGCATGCTGAATTCAACAGTATGAACAGCATTTTTGCCATATGAAATGAAAGCAAAGACTAGAAAGTATTCTGTCCAATCACTACATAAAAAACTCCCCAGAAGTTTGGAAATCAGACCAACTATTCAAGAAAGAAAAGCGTATAAAAGAAAAGCCTTGTGATGTTTCTTAGATAATTGTATATAAGATTATAGTTGCATAACAACCTAATTTTAATGTTTTTTGTAAGAAAAAGTATATATTCTACTTCCGAATATAATAAATATTTAATATAATAAATAGCTATTATTTTGGTACTAGACAACATCAAATATTTCATTTTATATTTATTAGATTGAGTAGGTGTGTTATTCCTTACGTTACAAATTTTCTTATCGTTTACTTTTTCTTTAAATAATACAAGCTAATCGTAGTTTGCGTGTCAACGAGAAAATAAAATCGAGAATATTTCAAAAATTTGATAAAAGTAGAACCTGAAGATAATGATCATCTACACGACACAATACGTGAAACTCTACAAGTAAGTTATGTAAAAATAATTTACGTTTAAATGTAAGTTTATATCAAAACTAGTAAAAGTGCCATCCCTAAGCTAAACTGTTTAAAAAGTTTTTAAATTTAAATTATTCTTAAAATTTGAAAAAAAAATTTCTTGAATACTTTAGTTTACAGTGACCAACATAACACGACACTTTTTCTTAAAGATATTTATTTAACAAGTATATTTTACAAACCTAGCTTTATTACATTGAAAAAAGTTATCAAAAATTTTACTTACGCCAACACAACAGTTAAGTCAAAATCAATAATGTCAAAACAAGAAAAAAAATCTCAGTTAACTAAATAAGGTTTAAATAGATGGTAAAAATTAATGGACCGCAACAAAACAAAACAATATCATACAGTCACTGATATAATTAATTGCGATTAGAAATAGTCTTAAGTAGATAAAATGCACTGATGGAGTATACCAGTAATAACTGTGTTAACTAATAAATATAAACAAATACTATCATTAGGGAATGTTTTTTTTATATGTTTGATAATGTCGTTTAAATAAAAAAGCGATTAAATAGCGATTAAATTAAAAACTTATAAACATAAAAGGTTTTAAAATAACTACGAAAATCCTTTCTAATTTATTATTTCTCAAGGGATTGTTATTTTTAAATTATCGTTCATATCCGTTATAACTGGTTATTTTATATCTTCTTTATTGTTAGGATATACTAAAATACAAAATAACGATATCTGAAACAATCGGGACGCCTTTTCCAAGAGAGATGTCAGTTGATTTTTTCTCCACCCGACATGTTTTTGTTGATTGAATTTTCACTTTATAAACGTTCTTCTTTAGTTAAAGTAGTTTAAAACATAAAAAGATTTGTAAATAATATTAAAATATTTTGCCTGAACTATTTTAATGTATTGCTCGTAGAAGTTTTTTAACTATTTTAATAATTGCCCGTAGTAGTTTTTGTTAAATCCAACTCTCCTCAATGTGCTTAGCATTAGAAAAAAGTAATTTTTTCTTCTTGCTCTGACCATAAATTCTAGTTGTAAATTTATGTAGATTGTAATATATATTCAATTGAAACCCAGCAAACATTGTTTTAGTGGTTTGCAGTGGAAATATAGGCATTTTTTAGCGGTTTATTGGAGTTTTGCTCAATCGGTTACTTAGTGGACCATTAATGGCAACCGCTATAAATGGCAAATTGATAATTTTCCGACATTTTAATGATGGTTAATTATCAGCAAGCCACTTTTAGCTTTATAATGGTCCCCAAATAACCAATAAGCAAAATCAGAGGTGTAGAGTTAAAAAAAAGTACCGACACCAACTCCAATCGTTACGACTTCGAGTACAACCTCGACTACAGAGCAAAATTTTTGAAAAATTCTTTGAATTCTTTAAAAATTATTACGCGATAATTAAAAATTTTTTTTTTACCAAATATTTGAAAAGTTCTTTGATACAACTAAATTGGTAACTATTAATTTTAACTATTAATTTAAATAAACTATTAATTTAAATTTGATACAACAAAATTTTTGGTTAAATATTTTGTACATGCACGAGCATTACCGATAAGTTTTACTATTGGAGTAGGAGTCGCGATTTTGTTTCGCGACTCTGACTCCAACTCCGCTAAAATTTGTTTCACGAATCCGACAAAGTAACTTGATAAATTTCTAAAACTTTTTTTTAGGGCAATAATTTTTTTTTTTAAACATATCTTAAAATAACGCCAGGAAGTTAACCCATGAGTATCCCTAAGTAGAGTTTGTAGTGCTATGCTATAATTTTACTCCCAGGATTTCTGTATTACAATTATATAGTCCCAGGAACACAAGATTGAAACCGCATTTTCAAATGTCTGTTCTGAAAAGATGTAAATATGTTTTAGTACATACCCAGACAGCAAGCTTACATTAGCCCAATGTAAGTTTTAACATGGCAAGTTTATTCCGTTGGGCCAACATTTTATTTAATAATCTTTATTAAATTTAATTTATTAAATTTTATTATTATTTCATAAAATTTATTATTATTATTTATAAATAAATGAAACATTTCAAATGTTCCATTTATTTTATAAAGAAGACATTTTAAATGTCTTCTTTATTAAATAAATCAAACATTAAAAATGTCATACAGTATAATTTTTTTTTTCATTATTTATAATAGTTTAGATTATATAGCTATTATAAGATATATTATTAAAGGTATCAATAATATATACGTGGCATTGAAGTTGTTAGAAGCTGATATTTTATATTTTAAATGTGTCTCTTTTGTTTGATTTTTTCTGTGTTTGATTATGAAACCCCATCTACTAACATATTAAAACAGTGTACAAAAAGTGATGTTACTAGAATTTATATTCTACTTATGTAAAGCTTTCTAATATTCTATCTTTCCGAGGCAGAGGGACATTATTCTTGGTGTAATTATTTTTTAATTTAATATCTCTGGATATTTTTCATATTTAGTTTGCGTACAACAGTTAACAACTTTAAGCTTATACATTAACTTTAGTTATAACTTAATTATTAATGATTTGATTTATAGATTTTTAAAGCAATACAAGATTGAATTTAGCATAAGGCTAAATTTCTGCTCTGGAGACAAAAAAGGAACATAGCGAAAGTGACCAGTCAAAATAAAGATTGAAGAGACAAAAAATTGTGTATATCTTGGTGTAGATGATTTATTCTCATTTTCTTATAATAAATCAAAAAATATTATTAAACTTTAGGATTTATCTGTAACTCCAAAATCTTTACAGAAGTTTAATGTTTGCTCTGAGAAGTTGAATGAACAAATTTATTAAATGGTAAGCGTCTAATGATTGAAAATCTTTATTCATAGCTTTAACTTTTATAATTTTAAAATTTTTTTCATATATTACGGTCAAAAAGTCAGAGAGTTAATTAACATTTTAGTATGTAATAATCAAAATATCAAAGCTTACACCACAGGCTTGGTCAGAAAGCGGGAGCAATTGCTCTCGAATACTGACCACAGAAAATATATTTAGTTGCGAAAAACTGGCCAGGTTTTTTAGTTGTTTTGAGAACATTTAAGTTTATGAATGTAACAAAAATTTTTTGTTGGATTTCAAAGTTGGTGTCACCAACTTTGAAAATCATTTGAAATCAAATGTTGAAAAAAACAACAGTATTTGTATTTATATCAGTATTCATATCAGTTTAAAGTTTTAACAGTTGCTGGTGATTAGTTATTATTCATTATATAAACATTTATTTAAATTTATCTAATAGACGAAGGTAATACAATATTTTTATAGATGATAATATTTTTAAAAATAGTATTTAAATTCAGAACTAAAATATGTAAAAAAAATTATTTACAAACATTGGACAAGGTCCGTACTGTACCTTGAAAATCTGGAAAATTTGTTAATATTGGCTAAAGTCGTGGAAAACCTGGAAAAGTCAGGAAATTATTTTTTTCTTTAGATAGTCATGGAAAAATCAGTAATTCTAGTTAAGAAGTTACTCGTTTCACAAATGAACGCTGTGTTTTGAAAACGTGATGAGTCGCACTTTTTTTAAAAGTGAGGTTTTTTGAAAAAAATATTTTCAAAAAAATATTTTTTTCAAATTAACTCACTTAAAATAAAAGAATATTAGGATAAAATAAAGGTTTTTTTTAGATAAAATAAAGATTTTTTCAGATAAAATAAAGATTATTTCAGATAAAGTAAAGATTTTTTTAGAGAAAATAAACAATTTTTAGATAAAAACAAATTTTTTTACAGGAGAAATATTTTTCGCTTCCTTGTAAAATTTTAATTTTGTGACTTGTCACATTTTCAAAATACAACACTCAAATAAGCTATTGTGTTTTTTTTGGTGCTAAATTTATTTTTTCTGAAACTTATGTTTTTCTTGGTGTTCATTCTTAGTCGTCATTGAAGTACAACTTGGTAAACTACGAAACGCATCAAATTCAGTTATAAAAATTTGAGTAACAAAAGTATACTAATTATTGTATTACCTGAAAGAGTGTCATTGCTATTAAAAGCAGTGAAGAATTCAAGTACTCTGGAAGAAAAGAAAATACGTAAGTTAATGGTAAATATTTTTAAATAATTTTTTTATGCATTTTGTATGATATCTTAGTACAATTTATATACTTTAAATAAAATACTCTTTGAAGATTTTTTATAAATGACATTTTATATTAATTTAAGTCTAAACAAAAGTTACTTTAATTATTGCCAGGTTGTGTATTTTTGCAGGTCAATTAATTGGCACAAATCGGAGTTAAAGACAAAGGAGATTGTATATTTTATTTGCTAAGAATAGTTTTTAAAATGGCCTAGTTGTAAAATTAAACTATGCAGGGCGAGGACAAAAAATTGGAATAGAAAAAATGTTGATTGCATATGCTGCTATTGGTAAGTGGTTTAGAAAAGTTTATTTTTTCAGTTTCAATTTTGCATTACGGAATTACTTTCAATTTGATATGTTTCTTTGGTGCATAATTAAACAAGCAACTATTTTTTTTTGCAGAAATTGTGAAGTCAAATAAATATGGCTTATGCAGACATGTGATAGAGATAGAGGAAGAAAAAATAATAATCGTGGGCACCAAATATTATAAGCTAAACACGATTCAATAACATGTAGCTCAAGCAATATCGAAACTACTCTAAATTTTATAGTAAATTTTTTTATTTAAAACTCAATGTGTCAGTTTTTGGTTTACGTTTGGTGTTTGCAATATGTATATTTAACCGATAAATTATGTTAAATAAATAAATTTTTATACTTGTATCATACATTCTTTTTTTTCTCTATAAATTTTCAATATAGCGATGCAAATCATCTTATTTGTAACAACGATCTAATGTTGCATAAAACGTTAGGCCGATTTATAACATACGATTTTGGGCCAATGCTGTATACAACGTTAGGCCAATTTTGTATACAACGTTGGCCTAACGTTATATATATATATATATATATATATATATGTATATATATATATATATATATATATATATATATATATATAATATATATATATATATATATATATATATATATATATATATATATATATATATATAATATATATATAATATATATATAATATATATATATATATATATATATATATATATATATATATATATATATATATATATATATATATATATATATATATATATATATATATATATATATATATATATATATATATATATATATATATATATATATATACATATTATATATATATATTATTATATATATATATAATATGTATATATATATATAATATATATATATATATATATATATATATATATATATATATATATATATATTATATATATATATATATACATATTATATATATATATTATTAATATATATATATATATATATATATATATATATACATACTTTAAAAAAATACATCATCAAGTTTCAAAATTATTACTTCCCCTTAGTAAATTGTTTAAAGTAAGACTGTGTGGTAATGGCATGAAGTGATAGTAATCAGAATTATGCAGCTATATATCAATAAGTTATAAAATTATGTAAAAATGATTTACAAGTATAATGTCTGAATCATCTCATCCCCCTAAGTAAATCATGCAATACAAAATGTTTGAATCTTGTATTGAATGATATAAATTGTTTTTATATTTTACTGTAATTGGAAATTTCTAAAGCTTTTGATATTTAACTTGCAGGACTTTTGTTTTACAATAGGAACATAGAATAAAAGTGTTATGCTTATTTTAATTAGTAAAGTTATTAGTCCAACATATCAATATTATTTTAGCCTCATTTAAAGATATTGTGATGTTATATTGGTATTTGATTTTTTTCCAAACTAACGCATATTAATTTTCTGGTATGTATATATGTTTTTAAGTTCTATGTTTGCTATTTCATATGTTCTACAAAAACTAGCATTTATTTTTTCATATTTTCATTTAAAAAATTATTTGTTTAGTGCAAATTGAAAATTATTTCTTTATTTAATAAATTTAGTTCGACGACAAGGTTCTGCTCTACTTCATTTTTTATGTTTAATTTGACTACTGTTGAAATATGGTTTTAATTTAGTAAATTTTCATGAATTGAAATTTACTTTATTAATCATTAGCCAACAGTTTAGGTAATAAAATTGAATTCATTACCATTAAGGTAAGAATAACTTTGTTCTTTGGTCACACCATTAAACAGTTTTTTTATTATATTCTTTTATTGGTATTTTTCACTAAAACTGTTTTTTATAATTACTATTATGTCATTGCTATTTTGTGTAACTAAACCTAAAAATAATTCAGCTAACATAACCTTGAAAATCTAATAGTTTTTATTATTATTACATTTTTGTTTCAGATAACCTTGTTGAAAATTTCAAAAGAAGCTTGAACAAAAAATAATTGTTCGTAGAAAATCTAAAATCGCAGATTTTATACTTACTTACCCAGCAAAGAAAAAGATATCTAAAATGCATCTAATATGCATCTAAAAACTGATCTAAAAGATGTCGAAATTCAGGTCTAGAACGGGACATAAATAGACGTCTATCTTATAGACGTCTTTTAGATGCATTTTATTCGACACAAATAACTGCCTTAGATGCATAAAAGATGTGAAATATACATCTTACAGATGCATATTAGATGTATAAAATACGTCTCTTAAATAGATGTCTAAGGCGCGTTTAAAAAAGATAGATAATAGATAATTTTTTAGTTAATAATAGCTCTTTTATGCATCTAATATACATCTAATATACATCTTTAAATGTATATTTCACATCTTTTATGCATCTAAGGCATTTATTTGTGTCGAATAAAATGCATCTAAAAGACATCTATAAGATAGACATCTATTTATGTCCCATTCACGACGTGAATTTAGACGTCTTTTAGACCAGTTTTTAGATGCATATTAGATGCATTTTAGATATCTCCTTCTTTGCTGGGACTTGTTTGATACAAAGGTGTTACAGCGGTTAAATTAGTCATAAAAAAGGATTAAGTTAAATAAGTAAAGATATGTATATATATATATATATATATATATATATATATATATATATATATATATATATATATATATATATATATATATATATTCATATCAATATTTTGCTGTATTCATATCAATATTTTGTGGTGAATCCTTGTTGTCGATCATAGCCTTGCATCTTTAAGGCATAGATTCGATCAGGTGATCAATAAAACTTTGTGGAATCGTTGCCTAGGCCTTTTGGATTTGTTCAAACAGTTGATCCTTATTACGAACACATTCATGATTAACTCTGCGGTTGACAATCTCCCACAGGTTCTCGATAGGGTTGAGATCCAGAGATTGAGGCGGCCAATCCATCACCAATAGATGGTTGTCTTGAAACCACTGCTTAACTACTTTTGCAGTGAGTTTGGGATCGTTGTCTTGCTGAAAAACCTATTTTATTGGTATATTCCATTCAGCATGAGGTAACATAACATCTTTCAGGATATTTTTATACATGAAACGGTCCATTATTCCATCGATTCGATGTATTGGACCTAGACCATTAGCAGAAAAACACCCCCAGACCATTACATTGCCTCCACCATGCTTCACAGTATATATATGTATGCTGCAAAATGGCACTTGCCAACGAAATTCTGCCTGTGTACTGTCACCTGTCAGCTGATTGCACATATCATGGCATGCTATGACTCCAGACTCCTGAACTGTTTGCTGTGGTAGTATAGTTTGTTTTATTTTTAAGACATATAAAATTAGGAACACTTTTTACCATTGATCGATGTTGGTTGCAAATGTTTTGTCCAATACTGTATATACACATATATACATGTATATATATATATATATATATATATATATATATATATATATATATATATATATATATATATATATATATATATATATATATATATATATATATATATATATATATATATATATATATATATATATATATATATATATATATATATATATATATATATATATATATATATATATATATATATATAAACAAGAAGATTTGTATCTCAACCAGATACAATAAACAAAAATTTTTTTATGAAAAAACTAAAGGAACTTGTATTATGGACACAAAAATTCTAGCATGACACAAAAAAGTCGAAGAATATCTTTTTAATACAGATATGAGTTTTGTAAATACTATTAAAACTATACCTCGTATAACACTCCATATATTTACTAGATTTTCTATGCTTATCTTTTCCCCATTTCCTTTTCGATTAAATTTGGACTGTAACTGATTCGAAAATAACCTGATAAATATTTTAACAATAAACTGAAATATATTTATAAAGATTTTTACTTTAATATAGGTAATAAATTAAAATATATTTCAATATATAAATGCTTAAAATTATGAAAAGTAAAAGCATTAAATTTGAAAATAAAATGCTAAACAAGGTTTAGCATTACACTTACTTTAGCACACAAACAAACTTAAACACCTACATTGAAGCTCCCAAGTTTATCAAATTATCATGTTAAAAGTAAATCCATAACAAATAACGCTCAAAAAGAATTGCTTTTGGTCCCTTTTAATCATATTTCTAATAATTAATAAAAACATAATCATTTACCTTTTCATGATCAAAAAAACATGTTCTCTTGGCTTTCCACCACCAATCTTTTTTAAACTATCAAGCTGAAATAAATGTAATAAAAACTAGTGTAACTTAAATTTCTTTACAACATATTGAGTCTAACAAAAGCTAGTTATTTTAGTTCATTTACAAATACTTTTCATTTAGATTCTAAACTAGTAAACCAAAATTAAACAAACTTATTAAAAATTAAGATAACTAGGTATTACCAAATTAGTATACTCGGTTTTATCTTTTAGTTTATTATCTAGTGTAACCACTTCGTTCACTGATTCTAGCAACTTCACCCCAGTAGCCTGAAACTTAATTTCTATAACTTCTTTTAAAAGAACTTTTATTTCTGCAAGCTCGTTGAGAATAACATCTCTACAAACAAGAATAAAATTAATTGATTAACATATTTAGCTCATAAAACCAAATAGCAAAACAATGAAATAAGAACTTTAAAATTCAAATTATGCTTGAGTAACTCAAACTAAAATTCCAAAAATACATGTAAGTTTTTTAATTACTCCATCGCAAAAGTTGCCATAATATTTTGGAAAACCTACTTTTTAAATTAGCTAAAACTTTATCCTGTAAAAAGTTACAATATTAAAGAATTTTGTTTAACTACTAAAGGTAAAATGCTACACACATGATTTATCGGATCACAATATTATAAATAATCCATTTCTATTCTTTTATACCTATCTTTTACAATTATTTTAATACAAAAACAAATTAATAAAAAAGACCTCCACATTAACATTCAGTGGTGAAAAAACCAAAAATACTCATATTAAAACTTGAAACTCTTTGACAATGTGAACTTTGCTTAATTTTATTTTGTTCATCAATAAAATGTGAAGAAAAATTATCTTCTTCAATCTTTGAATCTGATAACAACTCTATTCAAAAGAAATAATTATAATTAGAACTATAAATAATCCCTCAACCATACCTGCTACTTAATTTAATTTTTCAACCAATTTTGTACTTTCAATTTCTGAATTTAAACAATTTCAGCATGCTTTCAATCAATTTTCAATTTTCATATCAAGTTGATTAAAGGATTATTTAATACAATAGAATGTTGTCAATCATATAAATATATGTAACCAATTTAACAACATTACATATAATAGGACACCCAAATAGTTAAAATAAAAGGAAAATCTTAGTAATACATAAAAAAGACTTATAGCTAGATAGATATTATTCAGATCAAATTAAACAAGAATCTATTTCAGTTTATAAACTATTAAGAAAAAAATATGAATTTGTGTTATACTTTTATCATTGGGCTTATTCATAATAGGTGGCGGAGGTTCTGGCAATGAAGAGCAGTATGATTTGCTATTCTTATTTTTAATGCTTTCTTTAACATATATCTCATCTGATGTAGAAAGTTGTATTCTTTACAACATGAAAATGAATACAATTATAAAATATTTTGCTACAAAAAAGTAATTAAGTTACCTTTAAAAAAACACAAAATAAGTTAGATACTGACTATCTGTTATCTTATACTTTATCAATGGAAATTTGTGCCATTCTTTAGTTGACAAAAGATTATTTTTCAGTGCATGATTATAGTTTTTTTTTGGGACAATAAATTTGTTGCTATTCTGTTATTACAATAAACTTGTTGCTATTCTTATTTTTCAATCCACTTGTTTAGTGCATAAGAAAAACATACAGAAAAACTTTCCTTTAAAGTTGGGTTATGCTCATACTCATTAGGCTTTTGGTTATAAGAGTATTTATTGTACAAAATCAATGACTCATGATGGTCAAAATATTCTTTTAGATTTTCGCAAGATAAGAAATCATTTCTTTTAGAAGTTCCAACACTTGATTTTTTTTCTATATGTACTGATGAAAATTCTAGTATTTTTTAATATTCTTTTTGGACACGTCTACTGCGTCTCTTTTCGTATGCCCTTTTTGTAAAAGACATAAATGAATCTTGGTTCATCGATAAAAACGATAAGTGCACAACCAATAAAACAATCTGTGTTATTGTGTTAATAAAAAATTTGTGTTATTGAACAACACTTTTGTAATATTTCTGCAAAATAAATTTCAATTCACAAGGATTTTAGCAAACATTCTAAGCATCAAATCATCGAAATATTAGTGAACTATAATAGCATGTTATTTTATTATTTAAAATTTATCAAAAGAAATAATCATAAATGTCTTCCTTAGGTTAAAATCTTCATGTTTTTTTCGAAATAAGTTTTCGAAGGGTTTTTTAAATGGCGGTCATTTATAATTATCGCTCCGTAAAATTAGTTAAAATTTTTTTCTTGATTTGATAACAAATCTATAAAAGACATCTTATAGACATCTAAGTTTAGATGAAAAAAAAATTATCTATGCACGATCTATTTTATGCATCTAATATGCATCTAAAACAGAGCAAAAATAGTATCTCTAGAATCAGACGTCTTTTCGATCTCTAATATACGTCTAAAATATACGCATCGGCAATAGATACTAATTAGACCAATTTTAGACGGTCTAAAAGACGTCTATTGTTTGCTGGGTATATAATAAAAAGATGAAATAAAGATTTTTTTTAGAAGGTTGTAGCAATCTTTTTGAAATTCGTACTTGTAAATCAAGTCAAAATTTATTTAAAAAATGCTGAATCAAATTAAATAAGTTTGACATTTTTCTTGAATTAAAAAAATGAACTTTAATCTAAAAAAAGTTTTATTTTTTTTATTGAAAGTGGTTGGCGTCTGCTGCAAAAAGTATTTTAAAAAAATTATTTTTGTTGGAATTACAAGATTTAGCAAAATATAAAAACCATACTCTGCTATATATTTATAGTTTTTTCTAAAGTCAGTGCTTGATTTACTTTAACTTGTTGCATAATTTTGATTTAATAATTTATTAAAATCTCCAAAAGTGAGAATGTTTATCATAGGCTTGGGGTAATGGTAACAGTCTAAGACCAAAGTATTGGATTTCCTTTGCACTATTTTTTCTTCTTTTACGTTGCAATATTTTGATTTAAAGTATTTTGTTAAATTAATAGTGTTTTGTTAAATAAAAGTCTGTCTTTATATGGAATGTTGAATGTCTTTATATGAGCTGTTGCCATATCTCAGGAGAGATGGATCGGGAGAGATAAGAATGGGTGGATCTTAAAATGATATTCTTTCCCTTCAGACAAGGTACAAAAACACAATGTAAACATAGTTGGACCTGGTCTTGCAAACCTCTAACCATTATCACATGTAATGTTGCTTCTTTTTCTCAATTCTACAAATACTCATGCTACTCCTCAATCGATTAAGTCTTATCCTTTTTCTGTGACTGCTCCTAAGTGCTCCTAAAAACTCTTATTCGTCTATTTTTTTTCTTTGAACATCAGTTCTTTGGAATTCACCTGCTTCAGTTTCTATTTTGATTCATATAATTTCCAATCTTTAAAGTCATATGTTAATCGTTATCTTGCTTTATAAACCTCATCTTTTTCCAGTAACTTCCAATTCTATTAGTGGTTGATTGTAGCCTTGTTGGAAGCAAAGATATTGAAAAAAATGTGTCCTTTCTATTTAAGCGAACTCTTTTTGACAAGAGATGTTATTAAACAGATAACCAGCAATTACCTAATTTAAAACCTGTTTAAAAATAAGTAATTTACATAAAATGAGCTTTTTTTGTGTGTGCTTTTTACCTTTTCAAGGCTATAAAGGCTGCTACAGTTAAGGAAGCAACTTTTAGTTTTGGTTAAAACCCTCTCTCAATAACTCCTAAACACAAACTTTGACAAACAAGGCCTCTGCGCCAAGAAACGAATTGAATATTGTACTACTTTGGACTTATGTAGCTTTACCACTACACCACAACTGAAACTTAATAAACTAATAATAGGTTTATTAATAGATGTTAGTATTAGTATAATACCCCTTTTACTTTAAGTATAATATATACTTATGTTGCCATGAAAAATATATTTTTACGTAACGTTTTTCATAATGCTATTTAAATAGTACTCGTTTATAACGTTTTTTAAGTGATCTGTGAAAGTTCCTGAAATTTTTAATAATGTTTAAATATCCGCTTTATTTTTTCTAAATGGTTTTCTATTTTAATAAATGTTTGGAAT